AGAAAAATAAAATCCGTCAAGTTCACGAACAAGGTGTCGGGCATAGGTACACGACGCGATGGTATAATTTAACGTTTAATCATGTAATATAATAATATTGTAAAAGGCTACGGGTCGAACGTTTTCACGATACATCATAATGTAACGCACGCCAACCGTGAAAAGTTATTACGTGCACATATTATGGGTATTATTCAAAGATACACCACGGAAACTGATCAACGTTTGGTAAAAAAAAAATTGTCTACGTCCATCAATACTTGTTAAATTTATTAATAAAAATATACTTATGCTTACTCGATAATACGACGGCGGCATAGGCACATATAATGGTAATAGTTGTGGATTTCCAAATAGGTGGCGCGGGAACAAGGAGATAGAAGAACATAATTTGTCTTATCCGTGGGGGCTTCGCCCTCCACGCCTCTGATTGCTTTTTTACTAAGCGATATTGATTAAGTACATCACACTCATGGTCGCGAGGTGTATTTTTATTATATCGTACACATACAATTTATAAATTAAAATACTTTCAGTACGCAATCGTAGACATTTGAAGTGTTTTGGCCTCCGGGCAAACCAACAAGGATGGGCCTGTCTACACACACACACATACACACACTTCTATTGTGATTAATGATGTGCAAAGCCGGATCAAGCCGGATAATAGGCTTCGAAAAATTAAAAAAAAAAAAACTCGCAAATTTTGTGACATCTTTTTGCGAAGTACCTAACTGTCAAACTATTATGATCCATTTACGTTTTAGTATGCACATTACCATTGCCATCATGTCGGAACTATTAGAAGTGCAATAATTGTTTAGACAATTATGTATGTATCTATCATTTTATAATTAATAAATTCACTATAAAATATTGTTTAAGCGTTGGTGTTATTAGTATATGATTATCCGTCACAAAATGTGATATACACATATTTTGACAGTACTGAACATTATTGTCACTGATTAATTAAAAATATTACTCAATAGCTGTGTGAGGTTTAATTGTGGAAAAATCAATGACGATTGATAATTTTTTTTAAGGATTCGATAGTAAGAAAGTTAAAATTGAGATAAAACAGAAATGAATATTCAGTTTAGTGTATGGTTAATCTCAAAATATAACTAAACTTGAATGTTTGTTTTTAACTCAATGTTTGTACTGAAGATCTTAAACCCAACCTGAAGATATAACTATTATCGTGCGCGACAGACACCCACGCAGTGCGAAAAATGTTTTTTTTTAAACTCCAGACATATAGACAAACAAACTAGCCATTTATATAAAACTCCGGAGCTTTTACAGTTATACACAATATGTTTATCGCGTTTTATATGTTATTGGTTTTTAAAAAGTCAAAACTTGATAAAGTCTAATTTTTCTACATTATGTCCAAACTTACAGCATAAAAATTCTCAAACATCAAAATTGCATTATATCAAATCTTATCATGATTTTGTTATAGGTATCTGATAACTTTAAAAAATCTGTATAGCTTCCAAAAACTGTTAAATAAGAATGGTGAAAAATGTAAATTATACATCTTCTTTGAAAAGTACCAACAAATTATAGATAGTTCAAGCTAGTAATAGCTTCCTCAGAACCATGTAATATAGTTATAAATTACATAACTTCGATTCTTATACCTCTATTATTAAATTATTTTTTTTTATTATTTTAATCCCAACTATCTATTGTACTACTAAACAAGTAGTACATGCAATACAAAATATTCCAATGATAGGATTTTTGTTTGTCAGCTGCATTAAACGATAAAAAAGATTATTAAGCTAAATGCCTAAATAGCCTGATGCAGAAAATGGAATATTAAAAGGATATTATATATATATATATATGTAGTTAGACTAAGGAAGACACCCTGAACTTGATGTTTGTCAGATAAGTTCTTCGAATTTAATATTTGCAGTGTGTGCTTGTGTGTCTTCTAACAGCATCGGGAATCAAGATTTAGAAAGTGTTGGAAAAGACTGCAATCGTAAGGGAAACAGGTAATCTCTTAAACAAAGGATATTAACCGCATGAACATACATTGCACTCTTACACGCGATAAGCGGTCCACAGCAGAGGATGAGATCCAGTGGTCTATGCCCAAGGAGCAGACAGTCTACGAAGACCAGACAATAGTGTTTTCATTTCGTATTTAGACGATAATGCCTTTACTATTATGCCAAACCCCGCGTGACAAAAACACTTGGATTGTAACTTCTTAGCTAGGGCTCGAGCCTCGATACATTCATACGGCTATCGGTTTCGGAGCGAGTGAAACAACACTGTACTCGGTGGTTTTTTTTTTGCTCCTTCTAAGATCATGGATATTATATAGATCTCCTATTGCGCGATTCTGTTATGACACGCGCATGTGTGCGACGATCACGGTGTCTTTGAACCGGTGGCGTATCTATCAGCAAACGCGCACACCTGGTCGGCTGTGGCGGGTGTCGGGTTCGCTACTATACCATAATATAGTGTAGTGTATACAACATGATTGCCGTATACCGTTTTTTCAACACGAATACCGGCAAGGGTTCACGAGCCCACGCGGTTCGTCGTCAAGTTCAACGATCTGTCCCTGCGGTGCGGTGTGCTGTGCCTGCACCGTCGTGGAGAAGATCCCTGCTTCGCGTTGTCTGGTCGTTATAACCAGAGAGCTGGTATACTATAACACACACACACAGTGTTTCGGGGCATTAACGGCATAGGAGCAGACGGTCTGACAGATAAAGTCAAGATGCGCAAGTAAAACACCGATTATTCCCCACAATCCGGATTTCCGTTGTGCATATATAACAACGCGCTGGTCCAGATGTGCCGGAGGAGTCAGCGGCGGCGGCGGCGGCGGCGGGCAACCCCTTTTGCCGGCCCGGAGAGCTACCGCCGTTTACATCACCGGTTGTGTACCGCAACCCGCGGTCTCATAATAATATCATTAACGCATACGGAACACTATCTGAATACATGTATACCATCGCCGTGCTACCCACCCCGATGATGCACTTCCCGAACACCGTCGACTACAGAAATCAGAGTCAATGACTCTGTTGTACAGCACAAACACATACTCCGCATCGCCCGCGCCGGGATACGGAAACGCGAGAAACCAGCAAAATAATTATTAGAAAGTTTTTTCTTTCTTTCATTAACCGCGAGGGGTTGGTGACGAACCCGCCGGAGACGCGGTTTTAAACCCACCCAGGACACGAATAACATGCAGGGTTGAGCGTAATAACATTTCACGTATCAAAGTTAAGAAGGTTCTTAGTCTTCAACGCTTCAACTATATTGTGGCTGTACATTCTTATGAAAGATACATTGCCAACATTAACTTCCATTCCATGCATTTATCTGTCGAGATCAGTTCGCATGCGTTGCTAGATCAGGTCAACTTCCACCAAACTAGATTCATCTATCCAAAACGTTATCTTTTCTCCGGCGGGCTATTTAGCTAACTCTTTTTTTTATCATTTTAATGTAGCTTGCAAGCAAGTAACGCTTTTTACGGTTAGCTACTAGCTGGTTTCAACATATTATTGTCTTATGTCTTCAAAAATTAGGCTTGTAGATAATATAGTGAGAGAACAATATTTTAGCTAACAATAATATCCGACATATTGCCGTTTACATTAGATAGCAGGTTGAACTTATGTTTTGAGTACTCATCTGAGGTGAACTTGACATTTTTTTAGAAGTTTTTTGATCCTAAATTCAATCTCAAACGAATGCCTAAAGCAAGCGAGGCGTAAATAAAACAATTTCAATTTTATATTAATGTTGTAGATAAATGTATCCTGAATACTACGAATTCCGTTGAAGCATAAAAAACGATGACTCTTTTTTTGTATTTGCTTCTCAGGAACAATCAAAATCAAATTCTAAAGTCCACATTATTTATAGAGCTTTGTTTATGTATGTAACTTATTTTTCTATCTTGACTATATGTAATTCAAAAATAGCCGCTTGAACACTCACTCGCTACAGTTCACTATAGGCCTAATTTATTGAGTCCGAAATATTAAAAAAAAACATGGACATATTTTGCAGAAAAATGAAGTTTAAGATTTTTTCAAGTAATTGACGTTTGGCACATTGTGCACGCTATATTGGACATAATACATTTACCAAATTTTCTATAAAGTATTATTTCATTTAAGACATTACATTTTTCCTCAAAATAAATAAGCACATTTGGTTGTTCTTTATACAGAACCAATAAAGGGGGACTGAGAAAGTGCGAGTTACCTTCACATTGTTGTGAATAGTATAAGTGCATGAACCGTTTTAAAATGTTCAGCAATAAAAATAAAAAATAGATATACACGTGGTCACTCGGCGTCACAGGTAAAATTTCAATGTTATGTTTGTTCTTGCATTAAGTTCTATTGTTTTTGTTTTCCTTTAAACAAACATTCCATTGAAATTATAATAAAAACCTAATTTCGGTGTTATTACTAATCTTGTGTCACGGAAACTCCGACGAACCTTAAGCATTGTTTATTTTGAGTCATGCAAAACCTATGTGTATTGGTTTTTGGTTTAAATAATACGGCATAAGATAGTATGAAAATTAATTAACAAAAAATACAATAATTGACTATACAATTATTCAGTTCAAACTATTAGCAAAGTCCTATTTGTGTAAAAAATTTTCAAAATAAACAACATATTAAAACATAATTTCAGTCTTGTTGATAAATTAATAAAATCAATTACTTCACGCTGAAGCTAAAAAAAGTATTTATAGATATTTTTCATTTTCAAGAAGTTATTTTAACATTATATTAATTTGTCGCTGAATGTAGTTAGATATTCAGGTATAAATTAAGAGACAATTAAGAGCGAGTTTCTCTCTAGAGTACAGTCTCCCCACAGACCGTACTTATAATTCAAAACATGTAAGCTTTAAAGCTGTTCGTCGGGACTTTGATTCTGTTTGTTGTCTAGAATACAGGCCAAAATATATAATTTAAACACTAACTTACCTCCACGAGTGATGTCGTGCTAAGAGCGGCAACTCCAACGTGTCAAATCCATACAAGTCAACGGCCTAAAACAATAAGTACATTTGGATATAGTTTTGAAATAAACCACCAATAATATACAGTAAAAATCGGAAAAAATGTTGACTTAATTTTTTAATAAAATTGTATACTTTTAATTTACTAGAAATCCCTTTTTCGTATTGTTCTTACATTTGATGACAATCAAATATTTATTGTACCATGTATGAAAGTGATAATTAAGTTAGCAAATAGACTATCATGTTTTTTTTCAACAGTTGATCGCCTGAAGTTTAAACGTGGACAAGATATAGTTGAGATCTCATTGCGGATCTATATCGATCAAAGATAGAGTAGAAAAAATAATTGTGATTCAAGTAGATGTTATAGTAAGCAAATGGGTAAATGAAAATCCAACTTTTAAAAAATATAATAAGACTTATTCGTGTTAGACCTTGAAGATCACTAAAGTCACAAGATTGAAAACACTCGCTGTATATACCTACCTAACAAATTTAGGCACTAGTAGTATTCCAAATAAAATTGAATTTAAATGTTTTCCATTCGGTTACAATTGCCACCTGTCCGTGATGTCTGGTTGTAATGTAACTTTTGAAAAGTGTGTAACTTTTCTTGGCAATATAAACGGGTGCTAAATAGTGTTCTCAATCTATCAGAAAATAACAAATGATAATAGAAAAAAAAATTGAGCCGTATTTGTTTTTAAGAAATCGGTAAAAGAAAATTAGTTCGATTAACCCTAACAAAGTAGGTCTTGTCGATTCGGTTCATTTCTTCTTATACAGTACTAAAACGTTTGAGTTGCAATTGAAAAAAATAGCTTTAAGATCTCCTTAATAAATCCCTCTGTTGTTCAAGTGCTCAGCGATAAGGGCAATCGCCAGACAACGCTAATACCAAATGGTTCTTTTCCGCTTACTAAAACTAGAGCGTTTCCCAAGCACTTTAACCCGTGAGCAACAAAGTAGCATTCCATTTTTTTCTACCGTATAAAATTTAGTCAAAGTTATTATTGAAAATAATTCCCCTGCTCCCCCCTACAACTGTTGAATGCCAAGTACTCAATTTCGATCAATATTCTTCGAGACACCTACCGTCTACCTTTTTTTTTGGTTTACTTATTGATTTAACGAGTGCATAACCCGCACGAAAAACAGAGCAAGACAAAAATCGAAAGAGTATTATTTTTCTTTTGCGTTATTATTTTCGCCACATGTGTACAAAGATAAGTCTTGGTCGTCAGTTTTTTTTTTTTTTTTTGACGATATTCCTTTGTTCCGATCAATTTGAGTCGTTCACCGTGCACGCGCGCTTATTGGCACGAGCACAATACATTGCCTTTGTGCAAGCCAAACACCGCGAAAGGGATGTGTGGCAACAGCGTTTTGTTATAATAATTTTGTTTTTTGCCTAAAGGAAAAAAAAAGAGCGAAACCCGTACGAGATGGCCCGCCGATTGTAAAAAATGTATATTAAAAAAAACAAATAGGCGCCGGGGGAAAACGCCGCCACACCATGTGTGTTTCCTCGCACCGACTAAACCATATCCGAATTCGTTTGGCGTGAATCACGGATTTATTATAGCGACGTTCAGAAGAAATCGGACACCTTACCCTCATCGAGAGTCCGTCAAACAGCACCTACGACATTTTTACACTAATGTCCTACTAAAGCAACACGCGTAAAGGCACACTACTATTCGTACAAATGACGACGTTAACGACCACTGCAATGATCGCACCCGGACCAGACGATGCCAAAACCTCTCCTCTCTTTCCACGATCGGACTGGACCGACTTTTCCGAATTCATCGATGATCAACAACAGGCATGCATGCGTGCAAAGTTAGCCGAAATCTGGATTTTCGACATTTTGAAAATCTTAACCAGTATATATTTTAAAATACAGTTTTTTTTAAGTTAATCAATTGGTTTGGATTTTTAACATACCTTTTGAATGAACTTAGATTATGGTATTAATAAAATCCGCATTTTCTCTAGCTCTATAGCTTTCCCGTAGTATACATTTTTGGACGCACGCTGACCTAGTAAAGTGCGCCAAAACTTTACCAATCCGGGTCCCTTTAGGAACAATCCCCATTGTGATTACTACCTACACGAGTTGTGTCTGACAAATCGTCTCGGACATATCTATTCCCGTGACCGATTGGCGTTCTGAACACATATCCTCCAATAGTTTTCTACAGCATTCACTCAACACACACTCGTCGGACTGATGAATTTGATAAATTATTGTTAAGTTTACTACCAAATGTTTATGTGTTATTTGGATAATCGCTCAATCTAATGATACTTTGGCACAAGTTTGCCACCATCTCTGGTGTTGGGATTTGTGCTGTGCTCTTTTATTGTGCAACGGATTCGTCTTATGCTAGTTTTCGGTGACCGAAATATGCTTTTCCAACGACAGACTCTTATCGCTTCGAATCAGGGGTTTGTTTAACAGCGACCGTTGTTTGAAGGCCAGTATAAGCCTGTTTACGGTAAGTTTTTGTTGGGATTTCTGCGGACACACGGTGCTCTAGAGCCCTTCGTTGACTTCTATTCGTCCCGAATCCGAGTCGTTACACACTCGGGTTGGCAATGCGTAGTACCAGTAGCAGCAGCTGCGGCCGAGGCGTACATAGATGGACCGCGAGAGAAGAAGAGATGCTGCCCAAGATGCTATTTGGCCGGCACCCAAGGTTTGTGCACCGCTGGCGTGTTTGGCCCACGTCCAGCCTGCGTCGATCACAGATTGCTCCGTCGCGTTGAGGACGTGCCGGCCCCGAGTGAGTAGTATTACTACTTCAACTAGGTACTACACACACACACAAATAATCCATGTCAAGGGATTTTCATTTCATCGGATCATAATATTAACGAGTGGTGTGAGATACGATGTCAACCGGTTTCCAGCGAGAGGTTCTTCGTAAAAATGCCCTGGGCAATCTCCCTTATATATATTGAACGGTATGATGCTGTTTCCAAACGAAAAACAAAATATAATATACCTTTGGAACCACTATTTAATTAGTTTTGTCATAGCGCGGCGAACGAAAGAGACAACGTGGTATTTCACGAAAATGTATCCAAATGTTGTTGACAAGGGAATATTTTGATGTCTTGAGAATCGAACGTCATTTCAGTGGAAAACCGTTTGAATTTAAATGATACTAATACCGTATTAGTGTGTGGTGGAGTTCACAGGCCTTTGATTCGGAGCACGAGACACATCAATCGACGCCTCCCTTGAAGATTATTTTTAAAAGCGAAACGGTTTCCTTAAATATTTCACCATTACTTTTGAATCTTTGATTCAGTGCGTTTGGTGCAATCCCGTATACTTCTAAATTTATATTAAAGTTCAAAATATCATTGAAGATATTGTATATGGATGAACAACAATCTGTACTATAACGCATACGCCATGCTTCTTTTTTTAAATCAAGACCGACGTACTTCATTAAATTAGGCAACGAATTTTCTAAATACAGAACGTACAGATATCTAATGGGTTGGTGATAACATGGGTTAAAGGTTTTCGACGACACTAAAAGGTCTCGTGTATTCAGCTTGACTTAAGCACCCGTATACGATTTGATGTTTTTCAATTGTAGTTCAGATGACCTGATATGACGAGTTGATTTGTATTTTTGATGATCACGACAATTGTGATAAGGAAAAAAAAATGTTTTCTTTATTCGATCGCTTTCTTAAATTTTGTGAGTAAAATAGCTCATTCGAAAATCTAGAACTCGACACGTGCCCACCTGACCTAAAGATGTCGAGACGACCCTGTTTGGGGACAGCGCTCGACATCACTGGTCAGGGCAAACGACTTTTCATGGTAAATGCATACATCAACGTTTACGTTTTCCGCGAAACAATTAACGGATTGGGGCGATCAAACGCAATCGTCGCACTAGTGGTGCTTGCGCTAAAACTTACTAAATATAGTTATTATTATGGACAAATTATGGATGCCGACGGAATGTTGGAAAGGGAAATCTAATCCGAAATCGCATTACGGTTATGCAGTTTTGCACGAGACGCGTTATTTAGGTAAGGTGATAATTATATAGGCACAACCTCGTGGCACGTTTAAACACAGGTCGCCTATTAAAATTATACCAATAAATAAAAGTGCATCGAAAACGAAGGACAAATCCATCGGCGTGAGCGCACACTTTCCAAAACTAGTTTACATTATTATTTTAATATTATATAAAATACTAGTAATATTAATTTTACAGCACACGACAGGACCGTATGCCTCTAGCGGCGACTATTATTGCTAAAGCGACCAAGGGAATGTGACAATAAAAACTAAGTCTTAACTAATATAATACACATGTCAGGTCGACCGTCAGAAGTTAACAGTGTTGTAAAATAATTGATTAAAGTGCACGTGATGGTATTGTATACAATTATTTTTATACCAAATGCATTTTCATTAAATAATTACCGCTAATTAATTGTTTTAATATAAATGTATAAACTATAATGGATCATTAAAGAACGGTATTTAATGATTATGGGCTGAATGTACAGGATTAAATTTAAAAACTATAATTTTAAAAAGTTATTTTTAAAAAATAATACAATAGTTCATATCATTTTTTTTTATTAACAATTCAAGAAATATAGTATAATATTTGATTTTAAATTAAATTAGTAGTTAATATTAACATTTTAGTGATCATTTGGTTGCTCTAAACCAAAACAAAGTAGGTAGTTACCTGTGTTTTTGATAGTTTAAGAAAATATAAACCATTTTGAAAATTTTAATTGAAATTCGTTGATAAAACCATGTGATGAATGAGCTTGTATCAATAATAATAAATAAAAATCCAGACTTTTTTCCTTGTTGATTTATTGCCGCAAATGTCAACTGACAGCACACAATAATATTATATCAGGAAGGAGGGGTGGGAGACTATTAATTGTGTTTACACACCTCACTACTAATATACTGAAAGCATAACCAGTAATAAAATATTATATTTTTAAGATAATTTTTAACA